GAGAGAGGGGAGATTGAGAGATCGAATCAAGATCACTCTGGACTCTCTGTGCGATATTTAAAAAAAAGTCACACTCCATCAACGGGCGCAGTCGGTTTCAGTGGATTGAAGTGGTCTCTTCATTTGGTGTTTCGCCTAGAACAGTGGTTCATCTTTAGAGTGCTTCACCGTTGTCAACTGTCTGTCTTAACCTGGTCAACTTTACTTTTCACTCTGCATTCGTTCAACCATACTCAAAGTCTGCACACCTTGCCTTTTCCAAAAGTGCTGTCTTGTTGCCGACTGGCCACTTTCGATCTTACTTTGCCCGAAATAGCAACAACCACCGTCATCGCTGTAGTGCTGCCAGTGTTGAAAAGCAAGCATGGAAAGTAAGCTAAGGTAATGCCATCACTGCCGCCTTCAGCCATCGCCTCTATCAGCAACAGCAGATGTTCTGACTGTCTCTTTTTGAAATCTTCCAAAGTGTATATTTCAATCAAACTCTAATCATAAACTTGATGTCATCTTTGTCCATATCTTCAGTGCTGTTCTATCCCTGAGCACTGTTGTGCTCTTCCTGGTGCTCTGCTTTAACAACTTTGGCGGCCCACCGCTGTGCTCTGCCCAGGAAGAAAACTACCACGAGGTGGAATGCGTTCTGCCGGACTACTTCCTTTGTGATAACGGCAACTGCATACCTGTAAGCTTTAAGTTGACACAGTTTCAAAGTTGTTCTCCGTTTCCTTATTCTCCACTCTTTAATTGCTCCCCCTCAATCAGGAATCGCATCTTTGCAACGGTGATCTAGACTGTGGCGGCTCTGACAGTTCAGACGAAGCGGCCGATTACTGCTCACAACTGACCTGCAATGCCACAACTGAATTCAAGTGCGCCAGCGGAAGGTGTGTTCCTTTGTCGGCGCGCTGTGACAGAAGTGTGCAATGCAATGATCGTAGCGACGAAGAAGGATGCACCTATACGCCTTGTCCGCAGGGGAAGTTTAGCTGTGCCAATCACAGTCAGTGCCTAGACATGTCGATGGTTTGTGATGGAATAGTTCACTGTTTGGATGGCCATGCTTCGGATGAACTACACCCAAATCCCTGTCCGGCCAATGTCACCTGTCCTTCATATGCCTTCAAATGCAAGAACACTAATGTCTGTGCACTGCCCAATTGGATGTAAGACAAACTACCTACTGTTCAATGCATTTGCTAAACATGTTTTTTTCAAAATAAGGAACAATGGAATTGACGAATGTGGAGATAACAGGTAATTTATAACTTGCTTACCTGTTGGCAGACCCGATTTATAATTTAATGACCTGAAATAACAGTGACGAAGATCCGGTGAATTACAAGAACTTCAAGTGTCCCGAAGACTGGTTCAGATGTGGCGATGATCGGTAAGCAATAATCGATTGAGATTGTACAAAAATTCATTTGTCTACACTCTTGACAGCTGTATTCCGATGAGCGCAACATGTAATGGAGTGATTGATTGCACCACCGATGGTTTGGCATCTGATGAGAGACATCCGTATCCATGCCCAAAGAATGTTACATGCCCAGAAGGTTTCTTCAGTTGTGACGAAACTAACATCTGTGCTCACCCACACTGGTTATGCGATGGTCAAGATGATTGCGGGAACGGGGATGATGAGGTAAGTTGAACAATCATTTATTTTGTGTGCATCACTTGTTAATTAGTTGGCTAGATCTCACGACAGGCTTTTCTAAATTCGATAAGTCTTTTAGATAGGTCGGGGGGCTCTGTAGAGTGTCTATTTTTGCCCCCAATGCAGTTTTATTAATTACTAGTGCGTCACCCTAACTCAATTTTAGACAAGACCGTTAGGAGGAGAGGGCCACCTTGCGCGACAAATTGCCACCGATTAGATGTACTTAGAGCAGGAACAACAGCGCACCGATGCCTCTCTGATTGGCAAATGATGTGTGCAACTATTTTTGGTAAACAGCGGCCCATTAGGCTAGGCAACCAAGTGACAACTGGTGGTAAGCTGAAAAAGAAAAGCAGTTGCCAGAGTTCATCGGGAAGAGATCGACAAGAGCGCCCATCACCAGCACCAAAGGCAGCACTAATCAGTGCTAGTGCAGTGCTAGTACTGCACCGCCAGTGAAGGATATTTATCGAGTGATACTATTAATACTGTTTAGGTAATGACAGGTGCTACTAGCTATTCACACTTGTCGTCGGTTCAATGAGCATTAATTGCTACTTCGTTGAAAATGACCCCAATCTCAGTCAGTTGTGGCTGTGAACAGTTTAATTCATTTAAATGAAAAGACTTTTTTGTCGCCTGACACATGTGTGCATTCTGAGGCAAACAACAGGTTGACTGTGCAAAGCTTTGCTTCTTTTTTGCCAAGTTCTGGTCGACCCAGTTAATCAGCGCAGCAGACAGTTTTGCATTGTCAACCCGGAGAATTGGGCCATTAAAGCAGTACTTACTGAGATACTACCGCATAAAAACTGCATTTTAATTTACATTATGACAATCAACTGAACGAGCAATTGCGCCTTTCATTTCAGAATGTCGAACGATGTGCCAGCTTTCAGTGTCCTGAAGACTGGTTTCGATGCAAGAGTCACCGATGCATTCCGCCCAACTGTACGTTTACACTTTTTTTGCGGTTTTTCAATGAAACTAGTAACTCATTTAAAAATGTTGCCCAGGGCGCTGCGACGGTTCTCCGGACTGTGAACCAGATGGCGAGGACGAGTTGGAGTGTGAAACGTACTACAACAGACTCTTTATGGCGGAGAACAGCACATTGGCTGAACACCTCAACAGTACCGATGATGAGGACTATCAGCATCCCAACACTGAATACCAGTTGACACCGCTTGAAAATGAGAGGACGCAAGCAGAGCCCACTGGCAGTGACGCAACGAAGCCGAACAAGGCAAACCTGATCTCGTCATATCTCAAGAGCGGCAGCACCAGCAGCAGCAATCAGTCCAATGCCGCTACCGGCGCCAAGTCAGGCCAACTTTCCTCTTCTTCTTCACCCCCTTCCTAATTTAAAGCCCCCCCCCCCCCAAATCTCGTCAGTGCCTCAGTGTCCTCATCAGTATGCATCACTTTCATTCGCTTCACATTTTTGTATTTAATATAAACTTTTACATTTCTTGGGAACCTATACAATGATGCGAGAAAGGCTTGCTGATCAGCGCACAATGGCTATATAGCCTGCGAGCTGAAACTGGCGCCAGTTGTCCGTTGCCCGTTGCACCGTGAGATCCATCTGAGCTGGTCGGAGAGTACGTCCACCAAAGTTCGGCTTCGGCAGAAGTGGCAACTGTCAGCTCAGTTGGCGCTTCATATATCCCCTGCTCTGTGTTGTAGTGCTGTGAGCGTTGTGTCTTGCTTTGTGCACTTGCTCCCTGGCTCCCGTTCTTTCCGTCTACGTCTCGCCGTTCCCTTTCTTCCTTCCTTTCTTCCTCCCTCCCTCCTTGCCTGCATCGATCCAGGAGGGGAGAGCGAGAGAGAGAGAGAGAGAGAGCGCGCGCACCAGCTCCAGCATCATGTCGGCATCCACTCAACACTCCGATTGTCTTTGGAGCACTCTACTCAAGGTGAATTCCTCATCGCACCGTGTTTCAGCAACCTGAAAAGGTAATTCGCATTCACATCCTGAGCAACGACTACTTTTGAGATATTCGCAAATCACTGCTGCACCAAATAATCAACTCTCTACAATGGTTAAATCAGTCAGTTCCAGCTCTAAGGCGCACTCCAATAGCGGCCCTTCAAAAGTTAGGGCAGTGGAACTTAAACGAAATTCCTTCTTAGTCGAGAAGATTCTCGACAAACGCATCAATGATCGCGGCGTTGTCGAATACTATCTCAAGTGGCGCAACTTTCCATCCGGACAAAATAGCTGGGAGCCAGTGGACAACTTATCATGCGTTTCCTTGATCAAAAAGTTTGAAAAATCTCTTCAAGAAGAACACAAGGATCAAATTCGCGAACATGACTATGTCCCTGCCAGGGTCTTAAAGTCTCTCTACAATGTCAAAGGCATGAGTGAATTTTATGCAGGTTTTCAGCAAAAATATCCAAATCTTTCAATTCAACAGATTGACAATGTAAATGATCCGGTGTTGCCGTATATTGAAGCAGAAAAAATTTTGGGTGTCAACCAAAACGGTCCGGTGATGTACTTTGTCGTAAAGTTTGTGCATCAAGACAAACCTGTTTTTGTAATTCCAGAGATAATGTACGATAAATGGCCAGAAATGGCATCGGACTTTTACAACGAGTGGATTAGCACACGATACGATTCCGAAAACAAAGCAGTCTAATTGACGTAGTCAATCTCACAGCTGTTGCAGTTTAATTTGTCAAAGACCCTCACGTGCAATCTTCATTACCTTTCCATATTTTGTGATTCTCTTCTCCGTTAATCTATGTAAAGCAAGACCATCTGTTATTGAATCATTGCACGTGAATGGCAATTCTTATCAGTATTTCTTGTCTTCAAAGTTTGTTCTCTTTAATCACACACACCTGATATCGTTATTCTAGTCTACTTAATAGACTATATTTTAGTTCTATATTCACTCCTTAACACTATCGTTACTTTTCTCTCTTTCTCCTTATTACCGAACTGTTGTTTCCAGTAGTACATGTTCTTGTTCCCACATAGTTGATAATTAAAGTTACCAAAGTTTTCACCCAAATTGAAGTTTACAATTAAATTGGCGTGACCTGCTTCCGGAGAGGCAGTCTTTTGGCGGCTACTGGTGTGATGATCTGCCAGTAAAGGCAACAGTCTGGTTTGTAATTAAATAATTTATTGACAAAAGTTATTTTTAAACAGCTGATTGTCTCAGTTGGAGTTCCTGTGGTGTGTCTCTTTCGGTGCAGTTGCAGCATAGAGGCAGTATCAGCAGGGGCGATTGGTGACGGACTGCGCACGGAAAGGGCGGGGTGCTGCACTGGCATCATGGGCAGACATCACGGCACACTGCCAGTTCACATCACTCAGCAGTTACTGTTGACCAGCAGTTACTGATGACAGACAGGCGATTTCACCTATTTCCCTCCTAAACTGCAACCGTAATTTGCCAAATTAAAATCTCCTTTTCACCAAATTGATAACACTACCATACGATGGTCATTGGTTCAAGATTCACATTTTGCGATAATCCAACTAGTCCTGTAGTTTGAGATGACAACTAAACTGATTGAATTCATTTGTTCAATATTAATTACTTTCAGGTATCACCATACAGCAATGAGAAATCAAGAATAAAACTCATTAAAAGTTCCTGTCTCGTGTCGCCTGAAATGACCATTTGCCGATCTTTCCTCCAAAGTGCACACTAATGATTTCCCTCTACTTACCCATTCACTCAATTGGCAAATTAATCCTGCTTGATCCAAACAAAAGAAATGATTACATCATCGACACTAAACGGTACCGTCTTTGGCAAAGTGGGCAACACCATTACAGAGAAGTGTCGCTTTTCGAGACACGCTTTTATCGTAAAAGTGCTGCTATTGCACGATTCTTGCTCAAAAAGATGGTAAATAGAGCCTTACCTAGGCCCCACTTTCTAAAAACTAGTCAGCCATGCTTCTCTCACACACTTCCTCTTCATTGTTTACCATCCATAAAGAGTCTCAGCAATCAGCAAAAGGCTGTAAATTGGCTCACGCCGTTGGGGGAAAGGGACTGAAGGGGGTGAGTAGTAGTGGGCTAAGGCACCTCAGGAAGGCACAAATTCGCCCGCACACAAATTGACAGAATTATGGGCGAGTCTGCCAAAACATATTCGTCTTGTGGAGAGCGGTAGTGCCGGTGCGTCTAATGCTGGTGCGTCTTCATCGGCCAATAATCCTGGCGGCTATATGGTACCTGGCAGTCTGCGGGGTGATGACATGTGCCTATGACTTGCTAGCTGACAAGTGCCCCACAGTGTACGGTGCACCTGACGGCGACTGTTCCTGGTTGCTGGTGGTGGTGGCGCCGATGGCCAGACGACCACTGCCGCCGACTAGAGCTGCAGATGAAGAACTGACAAACGACTGATGGTGTCGGCGTACAAAATAAACAGCCATCAACTAGATACTGTGCCACTCATTCACTCGCTAAGCCAAAGGCACCAGCCGCCGGAGTTCTCTTTCTGTTGCTCTTCCTATCTCTCACTATCCTCATTGACTCGAGTCGAAACTTGCAAACAAACTTAAATTGTCAAACCAGCCTTTTTAGTTAAACAACTCTGCAAAGTTACTCTTCGGTCGCCGGAATATATTCCGACTGACGTCCACTTTTAATTATTCATCATCCCCAGTGCCAGAGCTAAAGTGTCCTTTCTCACCAGAGCTTATTACTTGCCACTATGAGGGCGACTTTTATCTTCGATCTTCGATCTTGAACGTGTTAACCGCCTAATAAGCGCCGTTTTTATGAGTACCTTGCCATAAACTAACTGACCACTTCAAGAACTAGTTATTGATTTGCAACGTTTTTCAACTTTTTTCATCAAATTAGCGTTTTCATCAATGATGTTGATCATGTTTTCTAAAAACTTTTTATTGCTTTTATACCCATTGAGCATAACACCTAAATCTGAACACACCTGACACTTTCCCTTGCCGGATGGCAAACATTTTGTTTGAACTCATTCCACTTCCAATTTGCATTTCAATATGTATTATGACTGCTACCATCGTTCTTTGTCGCTTATACAGCTGAAACAGCTTTTTAATCCGATGTATGTTACATTTATCAAGTTGAAACACTTTCACTTCTGTACCACACACTATCACCATTCATCTGCTTCTTCAACTACCAGCCTTCCAAATAACAACAGTGCAGCCCATCATTTGTTTGCCAGCATGCTTATTAATATTTCTCAACGATTCTCCTTAATTGCCTGCTTATATGTCATACATTTTAACCTGTTTAAAAGCCACCAAACAATGGCCGAAAATAAGAATGAAGTAAGTTTGGTTGGTTTTGTTCATTCCGTTTATTGGATGTGTTTACCGTTTTTAGACTCGCCCAGCAGTGGCAGAATGTATTCCACCAATTAACGTTGTGGTGGATAGCACCTGGCTGGAAAAGGTGGTTTTTGGTGATTTTCGCATTTGGCATATTCTTTTTTCTGGCATGGCCATCTTTACAGGCATTAGTAAGTTCAAATGTCATTGCTTCTAGTTTTTTATGATAATGTTTTTGTTTAATTTTTAGCCATTGTTTTATGTTGTCTGTTTCGATGTCGAATACCGCGCACTAAGCAAGAGATTGAAGCAGATTTTCTTCGCAAGAGGATAACTGAATCATTTCGAAATCATCTTGAAAAGATTAAAATTGATGAGCTACAAGGCCAATATGACACAGGCAATCTGTTGCCACGTAAGTTGTTAATCAACACTTTTGATTTGATGAAATTAATGTGTGCGAGTTTTTTTACTAGTATTCAAAAAAGTTGAATTATTTGAAGAAGATCGCATTCAGAAAAATGAAGGGTTTAAAAGGCGAAAACTTACGTGGAGACAAAAATTGAAGAGAATATTCTCAGGCAAAGATTCAGTGGAAGAGTTTGGAGACAAAAGTTTGGATAACTCCAAAGGTGACGGCGCAGAATACACAAAAATGACTGAAGAAGAAATGGAAACAGTGGAAAAAGAGGTAGAAGGCGCAAAGACAGACACCTCAGCACTCAACATGATCAATGATCAAATTGCCATTTTTGGATTTATTGGCGAATCAAAAAAAGACAGGAAAAAGAGAATAATAGAAGAAAAGAAAGCTGAAAAAGCGGCTAAAAAAGAGGTTTGTGTGATTGTTTTAAAACTTTGACTAATATCTGATTGTTTTACAGCAAAAAGCACAGGAAAAACTAGAGAAAAAACTTGCAAAACAGCAGCCAAGAAAGTCAATTGCAGGATCTAGTTCGAGTGCTCGCGCCAAATCAGCTAAAGCCTTAATGGAACTTCGGCCTGATTCTTTGGAGAAAGACCAAATGCTATGGAAGGAACAACCTGAGATGAGGGTCAGCCTTGAAAATGGAGGAGACTCTATTGTGATTGATATTGAGAACAGAGACGATGTAACGCATTCTTTTGCATTACCTTCTTTTGAAGCAGAACAGTCCGCTCTGCTAGATTCAGACAGCAAAGGCTACCAGGAAATTTCGCTAGACATTCCTGAAGTGGTTCCGAAAAAATCGTCTTTATTTGCTTCTCGGTTTTCATTTCGCGACACGGTAAACAAACTGATCTTTCGAGGCAAACCCAAGCAGAAAGAAGAGCTGGTGATCAACATTGGACTGGTAAAAAAGGATGACGATGGCACTCCACCAATGTCACCAAGTCTAGTCACCATTCCTCACATTGAATGTTCACCACCTGATCCATTTGAGTACGCTCCCGAGCATCATCAGCAGCCTTTAGAGCAGCAACACAAGAAACGGAAAAGTAAAATGATCAAGAAAGACAGTGTGTTGGCCAAAGATGAGTCGCTTGATCGCAATTTGCTGCAAATTCCAGAGATATCTAAAAGCACCAAAGAGGTAAATTCTGAGCGAAAATCAAAAGAAGACATTGAAGCAGATGGAAAGAAGAAAAGACGAGATGAAAAAGGAAAAGAAAAATTACCTAAAACAAAAGAGAAAGACATAAAAGCTGATAAACACAAAGAGAAAGTCCAACCAGAAAAATCAGATTCTTTGACAAAATATAGTAAAGTAGAACAAACTAAGAAAACTAAATCAAAAGAAAAAACCGCAAAACCTGAAAAGGACGTCAAATTCAAAAGTGACTCTTCAAAGCTGTTGTTGCTAAAGCGACAAACTAACAAAGAAGATGGCCAAAGTGAAAATGTAAAAGCTCACGAGCCATTGGAAGTAGAGAAAAAAGACAGAAAGAAAAGCAAACCTAAAGATCATGAAGAAAAAGAACTAGAATCAATTGATCATAAAACTGCAAAAGAACTACAGGATAAACTTGATAAAAAAGAAAAAACGAAGCAGAAAAATGTTCAACCAGAACTAGTCGCTGTAGAAATGAAAACAAAATCAAAAGTAAAGCAAAAAGATGAAAAAATTGAGCCTTTAAGAGTTGAGCCAAAGAAAGAGAAAGGCAAAAAGAAGCAAATAGAATTTGACAATGAAAGCATTGAACAGACTAAATTGGCGCTTCGAGAGACCAAGGAGCACAGTAGTCTTAAAAGCGACCGTCGCCTGGAGACATTTCCAATGGTTGTGGAAGAGGTGAAGACTAGACAACGAAAGGAAAAGAGGGAGCCAAACAGTGGTAGGCGTTCTCCTGTTTATGATTCTCCAAAAGAGCGCACGAAAGAGCATCACTCACCGAAAAAGCCTCATTCTAGCAAGTCAACAAGTGTTATTATCACTAAAAAAGAGGAAGTCACTGTTAGGTCGCCTAAAGCCAAAACAGTAAAGCATTCAGAAAATGAAGTCGGCAAAGAAAAAGATTTCAATCAAATGGTTACTAGTTTGAACGAAGAGCTTAAAGGGGGGATTGATCAACGACAAAAAAAGCATCTGAAACGGTCAAAAACAATTATCGAAGATGTGATTGCGCCGCAAGAGGAGAAAGTGTCACGGACTCGAAGTCGAGACGAGTTTAAGAAGCGACTTTCAGAGGTGTTGCTTCAGCGTGTACCTGTAAGAGCCAAATCACCTCAAAGGGTGGTCGACGTAACAGACGCGTCTTCCATCATGTCCACATCAGTGGTGCCACAGAAAACGCCAACAAGCTACTCAGAGGGCACTTCATTTGGTTTGATTGCAGCTAAGCAAGCTCGGCACGTTCGAATAGTCACCAAACAGGGGACAAGCTCTTCAGAAATAGAAATACCTGTTGAGCACGTGTACACGCAAGGGCTAAGCTGCGTTCACGTCCATTCAAGACCTGGTGACATTCTGGGCACTGATGAGCAAGAAGCACTGCTGCTTGAGGGGGCTCAGATTCGCCATCCCTCACCGACTGCACCGGTGACCATATCAACGCCCCCCGTGCCCCGTTCACCAACACACTCTACTATATCAGTGGTGACGGACAACATCGTGAAGAAGATAGTCGAATCTTCACCGGAAACGGGAGAAAATCGAGAACTCACGTATGAACGTTCTCGAGATGTCATCTTTGATGTTGATAAGTCTCAGCCTTCAACAAGCTCAGCTGGTGTCAGAGCTAAACCTAAAAAACCCGAAAAGCCATCAGCGATACAAACTCCTACTGAGCAGTCGCCCAGCAGGCGCCATCGAACAAGAGATAAAGCAAAGGAGAAAAAACCTGACAAAGACTGACATCAGTAGTAACGGCTAATAATTGGTAAGTGCAATTATTCTTTTTTTCATCCATTGTACTTCAAAATTTCCCAGTTTTAAACATATGAGCAGTGCAATTTAATCACTAGTGTACAAATTCACTCGTCACTGACCTTTGTGCTAGTGCTACTTTGACAAGAAGCGAGTGCTGTCGCTGACAAGGAAGTGACTTTTTGTCTTAGAGGCAGTAACAACTTGCTTTTATACAATCTGATCCATCAAATCGTGCATCGCACCAAACTGCATTATACCAGGATATATAGTTTTGCCGACAGGGTATCAAATATTATCAGTCGTTTTACTTGTTTAGTCAAACTAGCTACAGCAGCACGCGAAGACAAGTTCACCCTCTAGAGGCCGTTCATGCTCCTGTTTGTTGCACAACTCGGTTAAGTGGTAATAAACAAAGACGAGAAAAGCTGCAGATAGCCAGTAGGATAAATACTCCAATCGAGTGTTTTCCTACAGTTCAGTTCAGTGCCAAACAAGGCGATGCTGTCAAAGATGAGCTGGGCATCCCGCACGAGCAGACAAAGAAACAAAAATCCCAAAAATACATGCAACCTGTCCAGTCCGTCTGATCAGATTTGAAATCCAGCCCAAACAGATCTTTTTTAGAATAAGCTGTGTGCATTTGGATTGTTGTGAGGGCGGCCTTTGGTAACCACTCACTAATCTTCTGACCGCTGAAGCTGTCAATTAATTTGACAAGTGTCTCGAGTAGAGTAAATAGACCACTGATGTTGAAGAGAGTCAGGAATGCCGGCACTTGCTTGAGGCTAAACTAAGGGCAAGAGCAAACTCGACTGAACGGCTTGGAACGAGTTCATGAGCTTGCAGCTAATCCTACTGCTGCTGCTGTTGATGTTTTGTCGCTTTATGAAACGGAAGTAAAAAAGGTGCGTTTGTAGCGTTGCTGACGTGGACCTTAGTGCACTTCGAACTCGAAGTGAAGAATTTGTAGAGAGAAATGTGGCAGTGATAATGAGGCTGCTAAGCCAGCGACACTTCCAGCCAAGACAGAGGCCACGACTCAGTCAGACTGACAGCCACAGTTCAGCTCGGCACGATCAGCAGAGTGTGCGTACCGAGAGTGGCACACTCTGCCACCGAAACGCTGATAACGAGTCGGACAGAGTGTCGCCCGTCAACTTGTTACCCTATTTAAATGACCAAATGTTTTATTATTTTGATGTCCAACTCAGCAAAAGAGCACACACGGCAAATCTCTTCAACTCGACCTTTTCTTCGCCGCCAGACCGCGACAAATCGTTCAGTAATCTTCACCGCAGATGATGAACGGGATTCAGTGTCTTCGAAGGTGGAATCAACTCTCTTCTACAGTGTCTCGCACTGTCCACTAAATAGTGTTTATTGTAAACTGATGTAACAGTTTGTCTGTTTAACAAAAATAAGGTTAGCTTTACCTTTCTGGGGGAAATCTCAATGTACCTTTAAATTTAATGATTTAAAAGGACATTTTTTATTGCTTCCTATTAAAAATTGTGACTTACTTTTGCAGAGTTGAACAAAACTAGTTTATTTAAATATTAAATCACTTAAGCTCATCACTTGCAATGGTTGATCCAAATAAACATCCTTCATTTAGTGTTTGCTAATGATTATTAAAATTCCAACTAGTTTGAGTAATTTTCCTAGTTTCTGACCCTTATTTTGCGCATCATCTATTGTTTTTATCAATTATGCATTTTCACTTTATATATTTAAAGATCAAATTGTGACAAACGTAAGTTTTAATTTAATTATGTTGTTCATCCGCACAGGTTTCCTGAACAAAATTGAAGCATTTTTTCTGCTATAATTTGCCATTTTATATCATTTTTTCTCATTATGGCTCATTGCAAGCCGACCACTATTGAGATCTCTGTTTGCTCTACTGGCAAAATCGATGCCGGTGCCATCATCGACGCTAGTCCAATTATAAAAACCTGTAACAGTACTGTTCCCACCTGTCTGGAAAACGCTAAGAAGTGCTGCGTTTGCATCAAAATCACCGACTCTCATGGCCATCTCACCAACTTTATTCCTCTTCCCTCTAATGGCTCCTTTCAAAAGCACCTTTTGGAGCAGCCTCTCTCTATTGTCCCTCAATCTGATGAACTTGAATTTGAGAAAGCAACTGAAAAATCGCTGATTAATCTACTGGTTGCCAACATCCCTGCGTTTGGCATTCTCTGCGCGTTCATCTCTGTGCTCTGCTTCTCTTTTAATTCGGTTATTGTAAAGTTGCTTAAATTCAACTATGGCATTCCTGGCATTCAGGTTCTCGTTACGCGGTAAGTTGTGTGCAGTGTTTAATTTTGCTGTTTATTTAATTTAAAATAATAAATTTTGTTTAGAGCACTATTCCAGTTCACTGTCTGCGGTTTGGTGGTCATATTCAAGCGTGATTCTTTTTGGGGAGTGTCAAACACTCGTTGGATTCTCGTATGCCGTGCTTTCACGGGTACTTTGTCAATGTGTTGCGTCTTTACAGCATTCAACATGATTCCGATTGGCGACGCTACGACAATTTACTTTTCATCACCTGTTCTGGTCACTGTTTTTGCTTACTTTCTTCTCGACGAGCCATTTCGCTTTATTCAATTTGCCACCTGTGTACTGACTGTTGTCGGTGTTGGTTTCATCTCAAAACCTGAGTTTCTTTTTGGCAAGCAAACGGACATTCACTATCCTTACATGCTTTTTGGCCAGACACTAGCCATTGTTGCTGCAATCACATCATCGATTACGCTAATTAACCTTCGCCGGCTAAAGACAACGCCTGCAGCAGTGGTCGTCTTCTGGTTTGCTGCTTCAATTGTTTTCTTTGGAGGAATTGCCCTATTCCTTTTGGGCACTTACAAACCATTCGACTTAACTGACTTGCTGTGCACCGGTCTCCTTTGCACCATTGGCTTGATGAGTGTCCTCGAACAATACTTTCTGACGCTTGCACTTCAGCATGAAGACGCCACCACTATTTCTGTGACGCGAAGTTTTAACATTGTACTTGCTTTCCTCTGGGAAGTGGTCATTTTTGATGAAATTGTTACCTGGACTTCCATAGTCGGTGCTGTACTTGTGTCTGCCTGCATCCTCTTGCTCTCTTTTTCTAAAACCTGGTTGAAAATGGCCAAAGTTGTTGCAGGTGCATTTACGAGGAAATCAATTGACCTCGAGAAAAGTAGTTCGGAAATAGTTATAAGAAAAAGTGCTCCTATCAAGTCAATCGTACACGTGGACATGCAAAAATAACACAAAACCATAAGCACTGCATTTCAGAAAAACTGCTGTTTTGCCATTTTGTGCAGCAGCATGTTGTTTGTTAAAAGTTGATTCTTATCATTACCACCATTGCCATTAACAAATATTTTATCATTTTCCAGTTAGTACTACATCTGTTTTAACTGCTGTTTAAACTTTCACTCACCGATTTGTTTGAATTGTAAAATATAATAAATTTGTGATTTTTATACTTGCAGTTATAGTTACTATTTTCTGCTTTTTTACAAGTGCAAATCAAAACAAGCACAAAAGTTGTTTATATTTTACAGTAGCTGGTTATTTTACTGCAAAACTTCCATTGCTGGCCACATGACGAATTAATTAAATGCTTCAAAATGTTTGTAGCAAAAAGCTGACACCAAGTTTTTCAGATGAACGCTGATCTTGCATAACATATTGAGCAATCATTAGCAGTATGTAGTGTATCAATAATGAACCGTTTTATTTTTAGATACAAATCTAAAACATTTGTTTACCGAGAACAATTTATAAAATGCACAAAATATTTTTCCAAATTTTAAATCATATCAGTTACGCTATCAGCAAATGATTGCCCAATTTGATCAAAAAATGGAAATGTTCATAATAACCAAAATAGTTTTTGGTGATCAGCATCCGTTTTGCAAATCAAAACCTAAACAATAGCCTATATTTTTGTAAAATTTTCAGTACAATTATTGCAACTACCTGATATCCTTGAAAAGTACTAATGTAAAATGACACCAAGCTTGCCAGGTAAATGCAATGAAAAGAGTGCTTCTTGCAGTGATTGACGTCGATGGAAGTTTAACCCGATTCGTTCAAATGTACTGAATTTATTAAATTATGCTAATTGATAGTAACACTGGGAGCTAGGTGTTCAGTGAACAGATGTTCATCACTTTTTAAGATTTCTGTACTTCTAGTACATAAAGTGAGGTAAGCTTTATGCAACCACTTGAGTGGAGCCACGCTGCTTTTCACTTGTTTTATAAGCGCCTTTTTCTTTTCCTATCTTGCCCATTGGTTTAATCTGCACGCACTTCTGTGCGGATTCAATGTCAGTCGCTTGCTTAATTGACAGCATCCACTCGTTGCGAACACATTCACATGTCCGCATTGCTACCTCAGTGTATGCTGCTGTTAATGCAAAGTATGCAGTCACACAGGGAAAATGTTCCTTTTATGCCCGAAACGCCATTGGTATCTGCGCCTAAATGGGCGCGTGCATTGGAATAAAAAAAGATGAAGCATTTGAAACGAAATGTGCTCACAGTACATATCTGATTGATGATTATCACCACTGAGCAGGCTGGATAATTACGTAAAGACACCACCTGAAAGAGGGTTGTTTAAGTTTAACTGATTTAATTTATGAGTGCAATCGATTCCACGTAAATGTATGAATCAGAAATTTCAATTCACACCCTCGGTGAATCACTCGAAGGCAATGTTCCGACTGGAAAGTTATTGAAGGGTTGTTTGAGTAATGTAAATACAATTTTAATCTAGTTTTAAAACAAATAATCTGGTAGAACAGTAAAAACAGTTGACTTAGCTTTCCTATTGTTTTTTCTTGCACAACATTTTGTCACTGATTTGTCCCTGTTTTATCAAAATCGGTTTTTACTACTAAAACTCTGATGTTTCAAATTTTATGCTGGGTTTCTACAATCTTGCAAACTGTGGAGATTAGAGAAAACATTGCAGTT